TCGATCTGGTAACCCTGACCCCCACCATTACAGACCTCAGCAGCGCATAAAAGGCTCTAGTTTTTATATAATATATCAATGATTTCATACGTATTCGGAAAAAGGGTATTTTACAATTTAAAAATAAGGCATCAGGACAAAAAATTAAAAAAATTTATGTGAGTTCCACATTTAGCTCCTCTGAAGCTGCGCTAACAAGTCCTTTTTTACTGATTAGTTTTGTGAAAAATTTTTAAATTTTTCACAAAAATGTCTCTAAAGGTCTGAGTATATTTAAAAAATCAAGGTTATACAAAGGCGCGGAAACCGCGAAATTTCGTCATGCACCGTAAACGCCCCGCCCCGTCAAGTTTTAGCACCGCCCCGCCGGCGGGGCGGGACGGGGCGGTTTTACACCGCGGCTCGTTCATCTCTGGTACGTATGGTGTTTGCACCAAGGACAAACACCTACATTTGAAAACAAGTCTCGTCTTCATCGATCGATTTTGTGTCAACAATTAATATTGAAAAATCTTTTGAATGAGTGACAAGCAAAGTAAAAGCAAAAGAACTTGCAGCGTCAATACTTCAAAGTGCAAATAAAACATGAAACTTTTGATACTACACACTTTGCTGTTGAAGAATAGCTCATCTGTGTATAATCAATAATAAACATGTCTTTAGAAGTTTCTTTTTCTAGATTCGAAACAATTATTTTCTATTATCACTAATCAATTAACATGGCATCCGACTTTACGGAGTTAATTGAAAATGCTATTACATGTCCAATCTGCGCGAAACATTTTGCAGAACCGCGTATGCTACCATGTAAGCATACATTTTGCCATCAATGTCTTACAAATATGTGTACTGAAAACAATGGTGAATTGGTGTGCCCAAAAAAGGATGGAACTACAATCAGAGTAGATGCCGTCACAGCATTACCTCTGAACGACGCTTTACAAGGGCTTGTGGAACTAATTGGTAAGCAGGAAATTCCTTCTATGATCAAAATTCATTGAGCGAAAACAATGTTGCAGACTGTACTTCTTTCAATATTGAGTCAGATGAAATTCTTCTAATAGTTGTCTAGCTTTAAGCAGTGTCGAGATGAAGCAAAATGTTTGATTTCTATTGTGTGATAACGATAGTGAAAGGTTATGAACATGATTTAAGTTAGAATTCTTTGAAGATCGAAAAATGACATTTCTAATCATGATAATCTTGTGTAACATTCTCTATGTTTTAACTCACAGAATTTCAATTCACAAACATTACTATGATGCTTTTTTTTTCTTTTTTAAGATAATCCTGATACAAGTGGACCTCGTTGCGCTCGATGCCAATCATACGAGGCCGAATTTTGGTGTGATGGCAACTGTCAACTTTGCCTTTGCTTCAAATGTTGGGAGCAAATTCATGCATTAGGTGAATATCGAAATCATGCGCAACTTCCTGTATCAGAAAGACCAATTGGTACACGTCGATGTCAAGAACATGATGAAGATAATAAACTCAAATATTGGTGCGAAGGGTGTAAGCAAGAAATCTGTAACAATTGCCAGAAATTCATACATAAGGATCATTCCTTCGTGTTGATGACTGGTCGGGTGGATGTTGTAGAAGAAGAGGTGAGTGTTGAACGTCGATGCTTTGACGGAATTAATCATAAAACTATTTGTAATGATAAATCATGATTTTTTAGTGCAAAAATGGCTTATATGCTGTTCAATCATGTCTAAACTATAGGTCCAAGCAAGCAGACAAATTGTTAACAGAGATCAAGATAGAAAATCAATCCAATAAAACCGAAGTTGTTGAAGCTATGGCATCGATACATGAGATTGTTAACAAGCTTGAAGAAACATTACTCGGCGAGATTGAAGGTCTGGAAAAACAGCAGCAAAAATCTGTCGAGGAGTATAAACTTACACTTCAAGAAGAACAACAGAATTTTATTCAACAACTATTGAAGTTCGTGAATGCTTCGAAGGACAAGCAATCATTGAAATTATTGGAAGAAAGAAAAACATTTGAAGATTACTTGGAAGAAACTGATAAGAAATTGATAGATTTGAAGCCAAGAACTAGGATGAAGTGTCATATAACAGGTCTCGATAAATTACCAGAATTGAAAACCTTAATACAGAACATTAAATTGGAAGAAAAACCGAAATATAAAAACCCAGCGCTCGAAGAACGTATTAGAACCAACATGGACCGGTCAACACTCATTTTGAACACATCGAATTATACTGATCAGGATATGGAGATTGTAGCAAAGGAAATAAAAATAAACGAAGTAAGATAATATGACGTCTCTTTTCTCGATTTAGACTTTCGCAAAATGATCAATGGGAAATATCACAGAAACTAATACTAAACTCTTTCTCGATTTTTTGAGTAGAAAACCCAATCATGAAATATTTTCTGTGGAATTCTACACATGAAATCGAAACTTTGTTGAATAGATATCTTAAAAAGTGTATCCCTACAATACCCTTGATTAGATAAAGTTAGTAATAATAATATTATTATTTTCCATAAACTTATCATCTGTTGGATCCGTTGTTTTTTCGTTCTTTTCTTCTCAAATGACTGTCCTATCTGTATCCTTTTCACTATAACAACTACCTCTAGTTTATATCTTGGACTTACGGTCAACATTCCGCACATTGTGTAGCGATCTTCATATATTAGAGTTCATTTTTATCCTACATGCTGACTAGTTATATAGTCAACATACTGCCGACTGGATTATTCAAGACGAATAACCATGAGTCAGTTGTCCAAAATCATTCCATGACTGATGGTACTGATGTTTCAGTGGAACATATTGTGGGTATGTAAAAAATCATATTACCACTCGACTATAACAACATAAGGTAAAATAAGAACAAATTTATGCATTTATCTTATCTTAGCCAAGATTAATAACCATACTTTCACACTCTGCTAGTTAAATCATGTTTAGTATGCGTTTTGCAAAGACATATCAATGTAAAATTTCATTTTTTTTAATCTATGGAATATATCTTTCGATGTCATTAGCAATGGTAGTTATGTATTCGAAAAAAAAATATCATATGATAGTCTTATAGATTTGTATTGATTTCAAAACTACGTACATCTAACATTAATGTTCAATTTTCGTCGAAAACTCAGCAATCACATAAATACTCGTCTTTCATACGCTATGACATGGAGACAGATGTTAAACTGAATTGATGTTTCATATTCGTCATCATATTTTTCTCTTCTTATGCAGACACTCACCAAGCTGCAATTGTATACGAATCAAATTGGTGAACTTGGAGCGCAACATTTGGCTGATGCACTTCGAACGAGCAAGGTAAGTTATCTATCAATGAGGTTGTTCTAGCATCGCTTCTACGTCGTGTCACAACCATTCAAACAAAATTGTTGATAAACAACAAAAAAGAACCAGAGCACATGTGAAAGAGGTTTTGCACCTCAATGTCAAAAATTTTATTTCATTGGAATAATGAGTAAGGATGCTATGAATGGAAAAGAATTTCAACAAGATCGAAATTGTATTTTTCTACCAATTAACTTCAATTCCAGTTCAAATTTCTTAAAATTATTTATCCGAATATGGGTAAGATCATATGAAAATGTTAGTTGAGTTTGACCTATCTTTGTTGAATATTGTAACTATCAAATGATGGTAAAACTCACTATATTGAATGTATCAAATCTGATGATTGTGAACAGCATGATAACTGAAATTTCGAATATTTCAATTCATCTGATTCTACCGAATTGAAATCAAAATGAAATCTTCAATCGAAAATGTTAACTATTTTTTAAATATCTTCTTTTAATCATCACAAAATCCATGAACGAATCATTGTTCATGAAGTCTAAATATCATAGTCACTGATGTGTCTTTAAACTTAAATAATCACGGTAAACACGCTTAACATTAACATTTATTTATTTTTTGAAACATATGCATATTCCATTATTTTGCTGTATATCATTAAGCAGAAAACGTTCGACTTTATTTTTTAAACAACTTTTTTTCATCATTTGTGATTTGTTTTCAATACAGACACTTACTCAGTTGGATTTGTATAACAATCAAATCGATGACAATGGAGCGGAACACTTGGCAGATGCACTACGAACTAATAAAGTAAATTATTTATTTATTTTATTTCTATAGCATTCATTTTCAACGTTTTCGTACATACCATTTAGACTGTAATATATCTTCATTTTGAGTGAAAATAATTGTTCTGAAAGAAAATATAATGAGATGGGTAGATCGGCGGCGACGGCTGTAAAAAAATAATTTTTTTATCCTCATAGTGGCGATGGCTTAGAGTCTTTATTGATATGGTGGTGGCTGGAAATTTCCAAATTGAATAACTCTTTAGATGATAAGAAATACTTGTTTATTTGAGTATCAGATTATTGATAGCTACAAAAACCTAAATGAAATAACTATGTTTCGCACATTAGTTTAATCAACATAATACATGTAGAAATTATGAAGAGGAGTGATGAATCACTAATCAGTTTTGATTGAAATTAGGAGACCCATTGACTCGAATGAAAGATAGACTTAATTGATGTATATCAAAATATTAAAAAAAATGGCCCTGTTTACTTTTTAAGCATAGAGTCTGAAAGATTATCTCTACAAAACATTAATTTTGGTGCATGTCAGAGCTGTTGCATTAATTCTACAGTTTTTTGTTCTATAGTGGTTTGGAGAAAACAGAGAGGGAATACACTAATTTTTTGGTTTTGCTTGCTGTATTTCTATCACTCGATGGATTGCCAATAAGGGGTTTATCATATCGCCTGCGCCTATTGTATCAAGAAAAAGGCTAAGTCTTTTTCTATTGATGATGAACTATCATCTATTTGTTCACATTTTCATTTATCGAAGCAATTTTTGCAATAAACACTTTGTTTGCTTTTCCGTGTATGTAATGCAAATGACAGTAAACAAATTATCATTTTGGTATATTCAGTGGCTTCATTAGACTCAAAAGTTTTCATTGAAGCTATGAAAACTCGTAATATCGCGTAATGGATTTAGATACAAATCAAATTCAAACCCGCTAATATCAATAAAAGTGCTTTACAGTTGTATTTTTCGGACACAGAGTATTAGTTTTTCGAACATATAGACAACCGAAAAAGTTAAGATGAAATTTCCTGACTAAAACACAAATGAAGATAGAAATCAAATGATTTTAGCATTCGGATTTCGGCGGTGACAGCTAAAACTTTCAAAGATTTGTGGTACCAACAAGAGGTCCAAACAGGCCGCCTGGCTCGTCTACTTTTTCTTCGAAATCGAAGTGTCATCTAATAATTTGACGATATTGTTAGCAAATAGACACAAATTTCATTAATTTTCAAAAGATCACATTTAAGCGTGATGAATTAGATAAATACTGCGGAATGAGTATTAAGGATACTTATAGGAATTCAATTTCCTTGCTATTTTGAAGAGATCACGAGCACAAATTTTCATATTTTTCATTATCTACATGTCATCTTTCTCAATTTTAGTTAATTTAATTGAGTCTAAATCCTTTTCTCTATTGCACATTTACTACTGATTGAATTTTGTTCCTCTCTTGATCTCAATACTTTAAGTAACATTGTGATCTGACGTGAGAAATTCATTGAAAATATTCTTGAACAAAAGCCAGATATCTGCCATAAAACGATTACCTTAGCATTGCTTTAATTTTGTGAACGTATCACTAGTGTTTAGCTCGTAAGTTCTTAATCGATAATGAAACTTTTCAATGTATCCAGGTGCTTGTAAAATTGTCGGTATTTACAAACATCGCCAACTCTGAAAAAGGCTAGAGTTCGAAATTGATATTATTTGCACATTCCTACCGTGTCTCGCTTTTTTTTATTCAACTGAAGAGTAGCCTTTCTTTTGGATACAGACAGCCATAATCGCTTTCACTTTTACTTATACAAGGTTTTTGAAAATTAGAGATCGAATGATCCAGAAGACATGAGTAACTTTTTATGCGAAATTTTACTATTTATACAATGTTGTTAATTTTCTTCTAAGTTCATGCTGAAAGATATATGCCGTAAAATTCTCTTCAAAAATTTTATATAATGTTTTATTACAAAGTATGAAAACAGGAAGTTACACGAAAAATATTCAAGGTCTCTGAAGCTACCAGTTTTCTAAAGCACGTTTTAACATTTCTTAACTTTTTTGCTAATCGGTGAGAAAAATGTAAGCATATATGAAATTCAATTTTCTGATGCTGTGAAGAATTCAGAGCTAGCCCTTGTAAGAAAAAGTGATGCAAAAAAGTTAATTCTAGGTTGATTAACATCATACATTTTTAATAGATTAGAAATCGATAACAAATTAACTTTGATCTGTTTTCATTGTAATCGATTCTCTACCATTTGACAATCGATAAAAAGAAGAACGATTCCAATTTTCGCC